GACGTTTCGATGAAACAGATTTTAATCCAGGAGAGAGGGACAATCTCTTAAAGCTTTTGTCGATGACCCACAAACAATTTGGAGCTCCTGAATTCGAAAATATGCGAAAGTTTACGTGAGTTTCAGCTGGATATTGTAATTTACATTCAGATAGTTTCCGAACGCCAGGCTTGCTTCCCGAAGGATATTCTTTCTAACTGCTTTACGAGAGGTTGCAATAACTCGGGTTTTTTCTACTGTGCTTGTTATTCGAGACGCTTGTTTTTTCGGCATTTGATTATTGAGCTTCACCAATGTTAGTTTTGTTGTTTTTCGGGTAGAGTAATTTGTACTTCCTTTTATTATATTTTTTTCTTGGTTATTGTTTAATAAAAAAATAAAGTTGAATCCCAAAAAAGCAAAAAATCCAGGCAGGATTCGTACCTTCGACCCGCAAATCCAGCGGCCACCGCTCTACCGACTAGACTACAGAGACTTGATTTAAGGAAGCCCTTATTGCTAGGAGTACCAAGCACCAATGAAGTTTTCTGTTTTGTTGGAAAACTTCTAGGTTAACTATCTCGCGATCCAGGTCGAGTTGGCAGCTAATTTTTGCAGATTATGAATCACCGTTGTCGATTCTATAAGGTCCACTTGGTTTCGGATCGATACCCAACTTTGAGTTAAGGCCATTTCTTCGTTAGAAGTGATCTACCATCGGGTAAATGGGTGCCCGAGTAGATCTTATATCGAATTAAGCTATAGAATTAAGAAATGCAAATCTTCCAGTACTACAGCACCTTCAGCATGACAAGAGTACCCACCCAAATAGCGCACTTTATGTTCAACTCCATTGAACAAAGCGACAGCGATCTCTTGAAGTCTCTCCATGAAATCCGGATGAAAATCACTTGGTGAGATGATTGCCGTGTAAGCTCGATAGTCTAAAGTGGTGAGCAACATCGAGGATTTCTCGGCAGCAAATTTGCTCTTCGTTTCCTGATTCTTTGTGCTGAAAGAGCCAGACATTCCGAAAGCCGCATAGTGAAAGCCGGCATCCATATTGATCGTTTCGGCATTCGACTGAGTGTATGTTTGGAAATCTTCGTGGTAGTCGGCCATCTGGAAATTTGAGGAAATTGGTTTCAAAATCGCTTCCAAACCTTATTCAACTCAATCTTTCTAATCGGTGAGATCTGCATTTGATCTGGGATCAAATACCCGCCATCGGGCGTCGTCGAGCACTTGCCGAACTTGAGATCAAAGACTTGAGCCATTGGGATATTCTGCAGATTGTCCCATCCCATCCCGGCCATTCCCTCTAGTGTTGTCAGTGTTTCTTTTTCCAATTTTCGGCGACAGATTTCCACTGATGAGGTGAACGGGGGTGATTTTTCAGTATCCGAACAAGTGACGATTACTTCTGGTTCATCGGCTCTGAATCAGAATTACATGGTGGCCCACAATTATTGCGCCGCACTTCAGAGGGCCTAGATTGACCCAAATTAGGTCAATCGTTCTGTTTTTCTGGAGGTAAATCTTAAGTGTATCTCCTGGAACGGTGCCCATTGTCTAATCGATTCAAGCTTTCAACTTTTTATATGGCTTTTCAAAGTTGAGAGCCGAATGTCGCTACTCAGGCTCAGACTTAGGCTCAGGCTCAGGGCTTAGGCTTACCTCCAAATAGCGTTTCTCAATCAAATATCAGATCATATTAATTGAGTTTTGGTGACGTTTCTCAAGAATTTTTGCACTTAAACTGCGTAGAGCATGTGAGATTTCGTTCATTAATTCAATGTATTCAATCTCAACGAGATTTTGGCAAGATCCCATAAATGTGCGGCGTGCCGACTGACACTCAGCTTCTAACTTTGAAGGGGCATATAAAAAAGTTGAAAGCTTGAATCGACTAGATAATGGGCACCGTTCCAGGAGACACACTTAAGATTTACCTCCAGAAAAACAGAACGATTGACCTAATTTGGGTCAATCTAGGCCCTCTGAAATGCGGCGCTATAATTGCAGGCCACCCTGTACTTAAATATTAGCTTGGCAACTTGAAAGTTGGTATTGTTCATTGGACTTTTTAGAAATAACTAGTGCACCGATTAATCTACAGTTTTCACCAATAAAAAGGCTCATTTATCCTCTAAAAAAGGCTTTTGACAGATCTAGAAAAGTTTCGGTTTTTTAGGTTTCTAGGGGGCAAGAAGTTGAGGAACCAAAAATCATGAGCACTCGATGAAGCAATTTGAGCACTTTCTTCCACATAAACCTATCTTGATGTTAATAGAAAAAAGATAGAGCATAAAAAGTTAGGCATATAGCCGAATTCTCAGCTCGATTTGTCTAATTGCTTTAGTTATATGTCTGTTTGAAGAATTTTCAGAAAAAACTTGTATTTCTGCTCAAATTCGTTTCAAAAGTTGTCCAAATTTGCTTAAGCGTTTCGTAAATTCGATAATATGTAGCTTTTATTTAGAGAAATCGAATTAAATATGTTTTCTAGGAAATACGAAAAAGTGTACCAACTTTCAAGTTGCCAATCTAATATTTTAAAACTCTTCATTCGCTATTGCTAGTTTGCGTTAGACTAGTGCATTGAATATTCTAAATTTAGTTTAGAGCGCATAGACAAACGTTTAACCAAACCTTTGCGTGAATGCTTTTGTTGTTCCAGTGGTTATCGTTTCTGGCGTTGGTGTTGAGCCATCGAGTGGAACGTTGATGTAGATGAGAAGCTTGAAAGGTTGCTTATAGATTAAAAATCTCAGTTCAAAAGAACAAACTCCAGGAAAAGCTTATTTGGTACTGGATTACGGTAGTTTTACCATAAAAGATAACTCAATTACGGTAATTTGACCGTGAAACAAAACTGGAGCTTTCGAGTCAAAGATAGCTGAATTACGAAAGCTTTTCCAGTGAGATCTTTTAGAAAATCGTTTATTTAAGAGTAAATTCAAGTTCTGATTGTAATTATTAACTTTTAAATAACTAACTTAACTTAAATAACTTACGAAAAGTAGACAGCTAGTTTGGTGCAGCATTTTCAAAGAAAAATTTCGATTCGATCGGTTTTCTAAAACTTTCAGCCTAATTTGGTGCAATATTTTCATTTAAAAATATCTAGAAATAAGGAAAAACTAAATTTAGAATTGTTCTATTTTTCTGCAAAACCTTTACCTTATAAAGCGAAAGATTTCAAAAACAAAATAAAACCCAAAAAAATTTGCAGCAAAAAGAGTCAAAAAATATTATTCCGGAAAATGACTAATCGACGGAAATCGACCCTAAAACTCATTTCCATTTTCCGCACTAATATTTTTGTTTTTGCATAAACGTCTTCCATTTTCTATCCAAATTGCTTTTACTCAAAAATTTTAGATCAGTTTCGCACAAACTAATCAGTTTTGCGAGTTTAAAACCTATTTTTTATTTTTGGCATATCTCTCTGTTTACTCAGCGTCATTGGTATGAAGAAAAAAATAAGCGGAAATCTTGCGTCACTTTCGAAAAATCTTTATCAAAAAAACCGAATCTTTTCTAAACAATATTTTTTCAAAATTGTAAATGTTTAGACGCATTTATACAATGTATGACCTTGTCCTCGATTATTAACAGCTGAAAATAGAAGTTGAACGTTAGGTAAAAAGAGTAAAAACGTTTAGAAGTTGGATAAAACTTGTCTCTCTCTTGTCCCAAAGTTTAAAACGAATGGCAAACTTCAGAGTTTGGAGCTGAGAGGCAAATTTGAGAGGGGAAAGTGCCACTGCGATGGGATGCTAATGTTTGCGATGGCCAAACGACGAACACTTTGTGCGATCATTGAAATCGCATCGAAATGACGGCCGATCAATGCCTAGAACGGAACAACTGCACCGTTTTGCTTGACTTTGGAGTAAATTTTTTTCGCAAATTTGAGTCGTGCCGCAAATTTGGGTCGTGCCGCAAATTTGAGTCGTCGTAGTCTTACGACTTTATGAGTCTTACATACTAAGTGGACCCAAATGAAAAGCGTTCGTTCTCCACCTAGAATAAACCAATCGATTTACAATTTTGACAATTATTTAGAGAAATAATCGGGCACAAAAAATAGACGCATAAAAGTTCAGATGAATCGCCATAATCTTACAAACTTGTTTGACAACATCTTTGTTTACAAAGGAAACTTTTTGTTATAATTTTGTTTTTTCTTGATCTGTTTAAATTTTTAAAAATCTGATAATTTATTTATATATAAAAATTAAAAAACAGAAAATCAATTGGTGTCATTATTTTCGTCATCAAAATACAAGATTTCTGCTAGTTGATCTGATAGGCGTTCGATCTCGGGAGTGGGACAAATGCGACCTTTTTTTTGCGCACCCGGATATTTGCGCACCTTTTTTTCCGCACTTAGCCCATTAGCGCACCTTTTTTCGCGTTTTAAAAAGCTCTAAAAGCTAATATTAACCAATTTTTATTCCAAAAGTTGTTTTTCTAGGTAATTTTAGGGCGTAGAATCGAAGTTTTGGCATAACAGAGCGTGTGGAACCAATTTGAAAGACAAAACGGCTAGGTCAAATTACAGAAAATTGTTGATTTTTCTCTTTGTATAACTCCGTCCATTCGCTTCCACAAGCTCTGATATGCCAAAATTTCGATTCTACGCCCTAAAATTACTTAGAAAACACAACTTTTGGAATAAAATTGGTTAATATTAGCTTTTAGAGCTTTTTAAAACGCGAAAAAAGGTGCGCTAATGGGCTAAGTGCGGAAAAAAAGGTGCGCAAATGTCCGGGTGCGCAAAAAAAAGGTCGCATTTGTCCCACTCCCTTCGATCTCCTCCTCATCGACATTTTTATCAAAATATGGAAAACCCGGGCCATGATTCATTGTTTGGCAAATTGTTTCATTGGAAAGCCAAGAATTTCAGCTTTTGATTACTATCTCACACATAGCAAATCCTTATAGCTGAGTGCCTTAAAAAGCTTATCAATACTTATCGATAATCGATACTTTTGTTATCGATAAGTATCGATATGGTTTATGAAGTGTTTACTTATTAAAAGTCAGACGTATAAAATAGCAATCAAAAGCTGACGTTCTTGGCTTTCCAATGAAACAATTTTCAGATTGATAGCTGTTCTAGAAACCGAGATCTGAACGGTCAAACATGAGCATGCCGTTTGTATCGATAATATCGATAAGCAAGTCTACATTTGATTGCTTCCTCCACAGATTGTGACTCTGTTCGTCTCGACTCCGAACATGTTGCGTCTTCGTTGAGGAGATAACTTTGAGGAGGTCGTCGAAGCGTGCGAGAAGGCGAACCGCAGCCTCTCCCTCCCCTATACTTTGAGCTCGGTACGTTTTGTGATTGTTGGCTTAAGCAGTTGCTTTGTGGTACTGCCGTTAAATAAAAGCGCCAACCTACCGTATTTACTCGAATATAAGACCGGCCTCGATTATAAGACCGTCTCGAATAGGAGACGGGGTCTAGGGGACGATCGAAAAAATAGAAGACCGTCTCGAATATAAGATCGGTCTTAGATTCGAGGTACCCTGTTTTCTATTCTGCGCGAAAGTGGCCGTACTCAAATACGGGAAAAGAATAAGGGAATTTACCCAATAGGGTAAAAATATTATATTTTCATTCAATAGCACAATTTTGTTGTTAAATGCTAGAATAAATTTCTATAAAGAAGTTTTTTTTAAACGCTGGTTATTTTCCTGAAAATTTTCGTGAATGCAAATATTGGGTTGGTGCATTGAAAACTGCGGGCTATTGTCATATGTGACAGTTTGAGCACTTTCTTCAAAAGAAACCCATTTTTGTGTCAATGGAAAAGTTGTAGAGAATCAAAAATTAAGCTTACATCCAAATTTTCAGAATGATTCAAAAACTGGTTTTCAAGAAATGCCAAATTTACGAATTTTCACAAAACTTGCATTTTAAGCGGAACTACTAAGTGTATCTTTTTGGCAATTTGGCTTTAAGCCTAATTTTTGATTCTCTACAACTTTTTCATTGACACCAAAATGGGGTTCTTTTGAAGAAAGTGCTCAAACTGGGACATCTCCAGTCCTCCATTTTTGAGTCTCACACTTGTCTCACACACAAACCCAAATCCTGCTACGAAAGAGGAATCCGCAAATTGCCTGTAAAATAGACAGAAATCGTCAATAATAATGGAAATTATTTGGAATGAATTGATGGTTTTATGTTGAATAAATTTCAGTTCAAAGTCCCGCAGTTTTCAGTTCACCAACCCAATAATAAAAGACCGTCTTGAATAGAAGACCGGTCTCGAATAAAAGACGGGGTCTAGGGGTGATTGAAAAAAAATAGAAGACCGGTCTTCTATTCGAGTAAATACGGTATATTGTTGACGTTTTTAGCTATAAGCTATCTAAAGCGCATATCACTTGGTGTTGTTGAGCTAAGCATTAGCAAACTCGCAAACCTTTTTCGTTTTGGTTTGGTCGAGCTATCTAGCGGATCGTTTGGTCATTCATTAGTGGGAACCGGTCATAGTGAATGATGAGCATACACGATTATTAATCGTGTATGCTCATCGAGTTTAGTTTAGTTGCACTAATGTGCAATAAGAAAGTAGCAAGCTGCAGTTTGAGTTTACTTTTTAATAAGCTTGCTTTAGAAGATGGTCATCAAGCCGGATCAACTAATCAAGCGCCGAGGAAAACAAGGATTGGTCGTTATTGGAAACATGAGCGAAATCAAGGAGGCTTTCGGCAAGATGCAGGAAGGGGAACGCGAGGTGCACTTGTGATTTTCTTCACCATAATAAACACTTTTTAGATTGAGGGCGTGCGTGGCTCTTTAGACACTTTCATCGTCGAAACTTTCGTCGAGCATAAGCCGGAACAAGAGTTTTACGTGGCGATTATGAGCAAGCGTGATCACGATGTGATTTTGTTTTCATGTATGTTTATTGGCTTTGCAAAATCTTTAATATATTTTTATAGGCCACGGTGGTGTTGATGTCGGCGATGTCAATGAAAATTGCCAAATGCTCGAGGTTCCAGTCGATATAGAGAATTCGATGGTGCCTGAAATCTCTTTAATCGCTAGTCTACTTCATGGAGTTGACGAGAAACTAGTCGTGTAAGAAATCTCTTTGTGTTTTTTCATAACGTTGAATTTTAGAAAACTCGGCTGGTTCATCGATGAGCTATATCGTGCGTACAAAAGCTATCACTTCACCTATTTGGAGATCAACCCACTTGGTATTAATTCGCTTGTTAGTATGTTAAAATGGTTTGTTTAGTGATGAACGATACTGGAATTTACATTCTTGATCTGGCGGCGAAGGTGGACCAAACCGCCTCGTTTCTTTGCAAGACAAAGTGGATGTCACGATACAACGAGCCAATCGAATTCCCTGCACCATTTGGACTCGCAATGTCGACCGAAGAGAAATTCATCAGCTCTCTTGATGATGTGACTGGAGCCTCGTTGAAACTCACCATTCTCAATCGTAAAGGACGGATCTGGACGATGGTTGCTGGCGGTGGTGCCAGTGTCGTTTATGCGTAAGTTTTAAATTAGCTAGAATTATCACACTTCCGTGTGCATCAAACATTGTTTTGCTTTAGTGATGCAATTTGCGAGCTTGGCGGCGTCGCGGAATTGGCAAACTATGGAGAATACTCAGGAGATCCAAGTATTTGCTAGGAAAATTTCTAATTCATCGCAAATTTTAGGTTTGGAAGAAATTAGAAACTACGCATCGACCATCCTTTCCTTGATGACTGAAGGTGAGCCACATCCCGACGGCAAATTGCTCTTCATCGGTGGATCGATTGCCAACTTTACCAATGTTGGAGAGACTTTCCAGGTAAAGCATATTGGCCCGTACATTAATACATTTTTTAGGGTATCATCCAAGCGATCGAAAGTTTTGCATTGAAACTCCAAGCCCACAACATCTCCATCTACGTTCGAAGAGGTGGACCAAATCACAAAGAAGGCTTGCGCAAGATCAAGGATGCTGGAAAACGCTTGGATCTCCCCATCTTCGTTTATGGACCCGAGACGCCATTGACCGCGATTGTTGGCGCTGGATTGAAGGGCGATGATTTGCCAGAAGACGTTCAAGACAACCATTCAAATTTTGTTGTATCGGTGCGTTTTGTATTTTGTAATTGTTAGCAACTAAAATATTACGCTTTTCTAATAAGACAATTTTAGGCGGACGGTTCGATCTCGTGCAAACACGCCAAGCAGCAATCGCTGGAAGAGCTGGAAGAGCTTAACGATGATACCGTGTCGACTTACATGAACAACATCTCCTCGGCTTCTTCTCTCAAATCGTTTGCCGGAACCGCCAGTGAAGCGGAAGTTGCCGCCAAGTCGTTCACCCTCAACGAAAAGACGACAGCTGTTGTTTGGGGACAGCAACAGAAGGCGATTCAGGTATGTTTCACCACAGGGTTTGTTACTATTTGTCATAATTTAGGGAATGTTGGATTTCGATTGGGCGTGTGGCCGTGCAACGCCGTCTGTGGCAGCTTCAACTTATCCATATTCGGATAACACCATGAACAAATTCTACTTTGGCCAAGAGGAGAAGTTTTTGCCAAGCTATCGCTCGATGAAAGAAGCATTTGATGAAACAAACGCGACGGTGTTGGTGAGTAACTTTGATTGATTTAATGATAATTAATTTTTACTCAGGTATGCTTTGCATCTTACCGCTCTGCTTACGAAGTCGTTAAAGAAGCGTTGGAAGAAATTCCTCAACTGCAACTTGTTGCCATCATTGCCGAGGGTGTACCTGAGCGACTAACTCGTCATTTGATCAAGATCGCCGATACAAAGAGGGTACTATTTTGAAAGCATATCTTTAGTAAACAGTTGTTTTTAGATTACGATTGTTGGACCGGCGACAGTTGGCGGCATCAAGCCTGGATGCTTCAAGATTGGAAACACTGGTGGGATGATCGACAACATTTTGGCGTCCAAGTTGTACCAGCCTGGAAGCGTTGCCTACGTTACAAGATCTGGAGGTTTATCGAATGAACTCAACAATATCATCAGGTATAACGTTGGCCATAAGGTTTACTTGAGAGTTTAGCCGCAATTCCGATGGCGTTTACGAAGGGGTCGCAATTGGTGGCGATCGATATCCTGGTTCGACTTTCAAGGAACACGTTGCACGTTACATCCTTGATGAAAAGTAAGAATTATGCTATGTTTCTTATATCAGTATTTGTAGTGTGAAAATCATCGTTTTGCTTGGTGAAAGTGGAGGGCTTGATGAATACGAGGTGATCAAGATGATGTCCAAACTTAAAGTCAAGAAGCCAATCATCGCCTGGTGCATTGGAACTTGCGCTAAGTACATCAAAAAAGAGGTCAGCTCCCTCTCCCCCCTCATTTATGCTAGCTTTTTTTAAGATTTCATTTGGCCATGCTGGATCAGGAGCTGCTTCACAACGTGAAACAGCCATGGCGAAGAATGAGGCATTTAATAAGGCCGGATTTAAAGTACCAAAAGCTTTTGACGGATTAGGTATGTTTTTGTATCGAGACTTATTAATGTCCTTATTTAGGCCAATTGATCTACACTATTCAAGAGGAACATATCGTAAATATGAATACCAGAAAATTGCCAATAAATCATGAATTTCAGATGGGTCTCTGCCGGTGTGAGTGGCGTGAAGAAGAGGGTGAAGTCATTTTTTGGCGGCTCTCCAAAATAAAAATCAAGAACATTGTCGAACTATTTCATTTTGTCAATAAACCATCCACTACTATGCTTTCTTTCATTTTCCATTTGGTTATCTCATCCAAGAGATTTTCTGGGTTGAATTTTTAAATACTGTTTACTTGTCAAATTATCGTTTTAAGCAAAACAAACTGCTTTACGGATCGATGCCTCACTTGCAAAACAGCGCTTTGCTCTCGTCGGATTCGTCGGATGCCGAGAACGAGGATTTCGAGCAAGTGAGTGGAGATTTATTTACCTAAGCATTAAAACATTAAAGAAATCGAGGATTACTGTACTTTTTAATACTAGGGTAATGCTATTTCAATTAGTGACTCTTAAATCTTTGAAAAATCACTTGATCTTAATCAGAAATAATTCCTAGTTCTCTCAAATTGTATGTAAATGTATCTTTTTGCAATGGTTTACAGTAGATTTTTAATTTCTTCGGGGTCGCCTTACAGAGAACGGGTTGATTTATTCATAATCGTCATCTGCATATCAATTTTCAGATCGCAAATCCTCGTCCAGTGCCCGTGTTGACTGCTCTCTCTCCACCGATGCATCAACAAATATCCAACTCTTCATCGGCGATTCCTCAACGATTTGATGCTACACCTCAAGGTAAAGAATATAAACAATAAATTTTGTCACATCACAAATTTTTCAATTAAAATTAATTTCAGGCAAGCCAAGCTCTTTGAGAAATCCGCCAGTTTTGCCGGACTTGCCCACTTCCCATCAATCAAAGAACAACCAATACTCTGGGCCTCGAAAAGAGATCAACATTCTTGTACTCGGTGAAACGGGAGTCGGAAAATCGACGTGGATCAATGGCATTGCAAACTATATGAGCTTTGATCACATTGCCGATGCATTGGAAGCACCAGAGCCGATCTGTATCATTCCATCAATGTTCACGATGTGCGACGAGAATTATCAGCAACGACAAATTGTCATCGGAAACTCGACGAATGAAGTGTTTGGACAAGGACAAAGCGCGACACAAGACGCTCGAACTTATCTCTTCCCACACCCGAAATATGATGTTTATATCATTGATACACCTGGCATTGGAGATGTTCGTGGAATTGAACAAGACAAGGAGAATACAAGGAAAATTCTGAATGCAATTGCAGCTTACAAGAATTTACATGCAATTTGTCTATTGTTCAAATCGAATGACGCTCGGATGACGTTGAGCTTTAGATATTGCATTGGAGAGTTGCTACTTCAATTGCACAAAGATGCCGCCAAGAATATCGTGTTTTTCTTCACGAATGCCCGTGGGACTTTCTACAAACCAGGGGATACAATCGTCCCTTTAAGAGCTTTTCTCGATGAACTTCAAGCAAAACACGGGATTCAAGTGGCTCTTGATCCGAGCAAGATCTTCTGCTTGGACAACGAGGCTTTCAAATTCGTTTGTGCCTATCACGATGGAGTTGAGTTTAGCGAAGATGACATGAAAAATTTCGAAGCGAGTTGGGCAAAATCGGCTGATGAGACGCATCGCTTCCTTGACTATGCGGCTGGATGCAAACCGCATTCTGTTGACAAGACTCTCTCAGTGAATCAAGCTCGTGGAATCATTCTCCAACTGGCTAAACCCTTGGCTGACATCAATGAATTGATTGAGACAAATATCAAAGTGTATGATGATCGAAAAGTCGAGATTGAAAACACGAAAGCGACGATCAATGATTTGCAACAGAAGTTGTTGATCCCACAAATTGGAATCAAAACCGAGGAACTCAGCTATCCGATGACCGTCTGCACGGGTCCGAAATGCATCGAAACGCAGTCGATTCCGAACAGTGAGCAATTGCAAACGATCTACAAACAGATTTGTCATGATCACTGTCAATTGGACAACGTTGATCCCGAGAGATTCCCCGAACCTCAGCTACAACAATGTTGTGCAATGCGGGGTGGGCAAAGTTGTACAGTTTGTGGTTGTTTATGGTCTACTCACATGCACATTCGCTTCAAGCAAGTGAAAACGAACGAATCAGTTGAAGATGTGAACATAAAGAATGCGATTCAAACGAATGAAGACGCTCGAATCACAAAGCAGAAAATTATCGAATCGTGTGAGAAAATCGTGAAAGAATACAAAGATGAACGGAAAACTGTGATGGATGCAAGTATTCGTAACGCGGTTTTCTTGAAGCAGAATGCGATTATGACCTATAACGATGTTTTTGAGAAATATGTGGAAAAGTCGATTGAAGAAGAGAAAAAATGTATCAAAGCGGGCGGAGATCGAACGAAACTGGCCAATCTGAAGCGCTGTTTGGATGAGTATCGACAGGGTATGTTGAGTTTGGAGTCCAGTAAGAATCTAGAATTTTTAAGCAGGACTAAGGATAGGTCATTGTAGCTACACTTTGAACTTTGAAATTACAGTATTTTCAATTTCAAACGCTCTAGGAAAACCTAGAAAGTTTAGAGGAACTCATTCAGATGAAAAATAGCGGATAGTATCTAAAACCTAGTGGTATTTCTTTAATCAATCAACCACTTTGCAGAACGAGCCGCCATTGAGCACGCCTTGCAATCCGGCGGAAATCATCAGCAACACATCACCACCGATGATGTAAAGAATATGAAAGCCATCCTCTTCGCTTTACCCCATTTTGGTGCAAAACTCAAGGAACTCTTTGAGCAAACTGTGCGCGGATATTCGATGAATCAACAACAAAGCGTGCAAAAGTTTGCCCCACCAACGTACAATGCGGTGGTGCAAAAGTTTGCCCCACCTTCTGATGATGGTTTCAGGTTCTTTTTCTGGGGGTGGGTTATATCGGATATTAAGACACGATTAAAGATATTTTTGTTACTTAGCGTGAGTCTATTACTTTTGCCTGGTTACAGTATTAAGCTTTGGGTCTTACAAAAATCCTTGGCAAGCTTAAAAACACTTGAACATTTTCAGAGGTGGTTTCTTCGAGAAGTTTCGCCGTCTCTTCTTCGAATGAAAAAGAAAGAACGGGGGTTTTTGAAGAGAAACAGATCTTGCAACAGAAATTTCAACTCACCTATTCGCCCATCTTCACTCACTCATTTAATTAATTAATAACTTTGACCTTCATAAAATTTTTCACGTTTACTTCTAAAGTATTTTTCCATCTTTGCACATTTGTATCTTTGCATTTTTCACCTCGATTTTTGAAATTGACAACAAAATTTCGCTGTTGTTTCTTTTTTTCATAGATCGTATATAAACTTTTTATTTGATATTGTGTTGGTGAAATAAGTCAGGAAGACGCTAAAATTAAGTAATAATAAGCAAAGCAAAAAGCAAAGCGGGACTCGATAAGCTTAACGAGTCCAGAAAATTTTTTATCTGAAATGATGGAAATCTAAAGAATGGCAAAACAGAATCTAGCCATGTTTAGTATCAAAATGAAGCCTATCAAAATGAAGCCTAATGAAGCCATAAGGGTTTGCGGAGGAACTGGGTTTCGTGCTCGAAGGAGTTTTGGGTAGTAAAAAACCAAACCGGTAGACTGGCTGAGAATTTTTCCCGGATTCGTTAAGCAGGTCTATTTAGACCAATTAAACCCGAGCTGGTAGACTCAAAATGAAATGAATAGCTCCAATCGATTCGCCGGCCCGGCGTCACTATGCTCAAATTTCTGAGATACATGCCTTAGTATTTGTTAGTATTTTTGCTAAAAATTCCACATCCCATTGCCCCTCAAAGTGTGATTTCTCATTCAGCAACAATGATACCATTTTCGTAAACGAACCTGTAAGAATCGATGATATGTTTGCAATATAGCCGACGATCAGAACAATAACCGTTAACACTGCCGGTGCCAATGAGAGACCAGTCTGGAAATCAAGTATTAATTTGTTATAAACAGCTTACAATCTATTAGATTGGAAAGAAAGTTCTCGGAAAAAGTTTGACTGGAATTTCTTAAAAACGAATCCACCAATTCAAGAACATTTTGTTCTATTATTTACAAGTCGGCTCTAAGAAATTCAAAATTTTTGGCAGTTAAGACAGGAGTGTTTTTTTTTTAATTAATATTGAAAATGGCCTGTAATACTGTAACTGTACTGTAAAGAGCTCTATAATATCCTTAAAAATGGATCATTGCGTCCACCTCTTGAGTAAGACTAACCTGAAATTTGGTCAAAAAGGCCAAAAAAAAAGTCGCTGTTGAGAATTCGCAAATTTACTTTTTGTAATTAGATTTTTTCGTTAAGCCAATTAGCATTTCAAGAATTCTAGGCAAATTCTAGGCAATCCATACAAATTTTCGTACATCAATATCGTCAAAATCGTATTTTTCACCCCGATAAATTCAAATCTGATGATTTCCCCGTAATCCCCGTCCCTGATTATCCCTACTTGCATTCGATTCCGGTTAGCTGCTAAGTTAGCTAGCTCATTGGCTTGGCTTTGGCTTGGCCTTGGCCTGAAAATGTGGTCCTAGGAACAGCCTTGATGCTGAGTGAAACCAATTATTGTAAAGACAGCATGCTTGATCAGTCAATCAACCATATTATTGCTATTGCTAAAATGCATTTATAAAATAACCTTAAAAATGGATCATTGGGTCAGCCTCTTGAGTAAGTCTAACCTGAAATTTGGTCAAAAAGACATACAGTCGCTGTTGCGAATTCACAAATTTACTTTTTGTAATTAGATTTTTTTGTCAATTACGGTGAAAATGACGATTTTGATGCCAAAGATTTGCTTGTTCTAGTTTCAAAAAAAACCAGATTCAACTACCTAGTTCTCATGCTTGCCATCTTTAACATAATATACGCTATTTCTTACGTTCGAGAAAACTTTTATGGACAAAATGTTCTGATTACCGTCATTATCAAGTCCACCTTTCCAGGAGTACCGCTGCACACTCCGGAGAATTGTATTTGGAAAAAAAGTACGGCGGCGCCGTTTCTCACACCTCGGAAGACAACGCAGGTTGGGAAAATTCTTTGGACTGAAAGTTGGATAATATTTTCGATAACTAATTTATAACTCATGCTGGCAGTAGACTTTGGATTATTTTAACATCCCATTTTCCAAAACCCCACAAACAGCCGACCATAACAAGATGAAAAAAGATTACCTATGTTGAAAAATCGAAACGAGGTGTTAGTCTCGAAAAAAAAGCGGTTTCAAGAGATTTTCAAAGTCGAGAAAGCAATTTCTAAAAGATTCTGTGTGATTCGGTTGTCTACAAGAGGCTGTTTTTTTGACATGTGTTTGAACTGGTTGAGAAAAAAGATCAAAGAAAGAAAAGGTCGTCTTCTCAATCTTCAATCAGTAAGCCCATTTACATTTACACGAGAGAACGAGAAGAAAAGCGACGAACACAAGCAAATAGGGGAAAACAAACTTTTCTGGGAAAAGAAAGAGGAAATGGAGGAGACCTTTTTGGGGAAGAAGCCTTTACGGAAATCACCGCCTCATTCTCGTTTCGTCGCATTTTTTGTATATCTCGTATGTAATCATTTATCCCCACACAAACATACTCCCTTCTCTATTCAAAAAAGAAAACAGGTCGCAAGCTTTGAGGGGAAAATAGGTGTCCTCCGGGAGCACTTCTCGAAACATCTTCCACAACAAACACACCATAAAAATTTCTGGCGAGCGATTTCAAGAGAGCTGGAAGACAAATTTATCGTAATAAAAGGATAAGTCAACTACATACAAATATCAGCCCAAGGGGTTAAAGTTTCACTTTCAATGAGGTAGATATGCTAAATATGGAACACGAGAAAATAAATGATCATCTCAAAAACAATCAAAAGGTAAAATCAAAATCTTTGGCAGTTAAGATAGGAGAAAAGTGAGCAAATCAAAGTCAAGAGCGATGAAAGATTTGTAAGAGATTGGCCACCCAATCAACCAGCAAAATAATCATCTACTATTAGGTTGATGCAAGTCTTTTTCATTTTTTTCGTCTGCCGTTTCAAGCCAACAAATGCACCAATTAAACTACGGTTGATTTCATTAGAAAAACCAATTATTTTTCTGCAAAATAACTTTAAAACGGGTTTAAAAATATTTTATGCCTGGATTTTCTTGAGAGTATGAAGTCGGGTAGTCAAAAAGGGCTAACTCGATGATGCGGTTTAGACACCTTAGCTAAAGAAAACCTATCTTCGTGTCAATAGATAAAAGATAGAGAAAAAAAAGTTTGATATTTCGCCAAAATTTCAGAGAAATTCATTCAGCCAATTTTTCCGTAGAGTTTTTTATAGATTTTTACGAAAAAGGCGTTTTTCACTCTCGAATTTGCTTGAAAGTGAACCGAAATTGATTTAAAAAGATGGAAATTGAACAAAAAACACTTTTTTTATAGAGCAAACTATAGATTAATTGGTGAATTTGTTACTTTTTAACAGAAGTACGAAAAAATGAAAAAGACTTTTGCATCAACCTAATATATATAAAGCAGAAGAGACGTCCGTCCGTCTGTGCGCAGCTATTGGCAAAAAAGGACTAGACACTTAGATTCCGCGGAAAACGTGGACCTCCCCAGTGAAAAACGCGAACGTTAGTCAGCGTTTTCCGCTGGTATCAACATAAGCAACTTGTTTATACATAGAGTGGAACCTATTTGAAAGAAAAATTTAACCAGTAATCCTGGAAAAAAAGCAAAATTGAATGCACATTTAAGAGAATGGTAAAAGCTAACGATCACCGTCTCGGATCATTCGCCCAGCCCTGATCGTCGCTCGTTTCTTTTATTGACAGCTTTTGTGATAACCTGCTTCAGGAGCTCATGTTTATTTGCCGGATTATCACCTGAATTGTGAAAATTTTTTCAAACATTAACATTGATCTGCCATGACGTGCAAAAAAAAAGGAAAATTAAATACTAATTTAACGACTTACATTTAGCACCATTTTCTTTATTTGACATCGATGGGTCTGGCCTAGAGGTGGAGTTTGAAAAATAGCGAGTTGGAAGCGAGACAGTTTGTGGAGGAATTGCTAAATATAGGTAGACTTTGAAGCTTTCTAAATTTAACAAACGTCTTTCTGGGGCAATCTCAAAGACCATATCCCTGTATTTGGCCATCATCGTTCTTTGTAATTCGTCCCTTACCGCATGCTCAAAATCTTCTCGACTCAATTCGAGCTCACGAACCTAAAATGGAAAAAGGCTTCATTACAAAAACCGAATACCTTTGCTTGAGCGTAGGAAAGATCCCTTCTTGTATTGTCGAGAACTCTTTGCAGATTTTTGCTTTCCCGCTCATACTCTGACAGCTGAAAAAAGGTTTTTGAAAAACAATCTTTATCAACCTTTTGTCGATGTTCATTATCGAGCCGAAACCTGAATTCCTCCCAACTTTTCTGAAGGTTATCTCGATGAATTTCCTGAAAAGATAAATTAAAACGTTCCTAAACCAGTCGTTACCAATTCTTGTCGATGCTTCTCCTTGTCTTTGGTAGCTTGTTGCTCGAGTCGGCTTGAATAAAAAGTTAAGGTATGCCAAAAAAAACTCACGTGTTGTCTTGTTTACATTGATTAAAATCTCGTGTCAAATTGCGGCTTTCATCCTGCAGACGGCGCATGTTTTGCTCTAGCTCATTGAAACGTCGTTGCAAATCTCAAGTAATCTAACTATCTTCTAGTTAGCTTTATAAGTTTACCATTCTCACTTCGTCTTGTGTTCTCCAGCTGTTTGTCTAGTTCTTCATTTTGCATGCTGACTTGATTGAGATTCTCCACTTTTTGAGCATAGTCCTAGATTCAATTCATAATTAACAAAGTTGCCAAAATGTTTTACCCTTGTAGTTGTGCAATCTCAGCCATGTTCCGATCTTTGTTTCCTCTAACGTCGTCAGTGTGACCTATGGGAAAAGAATCAAAACTTAAAAAGTAAAGTTCAAACCTGCATGATTTGATTTGTGTTTCGTAGCTCCGTGCACTATTTGCTTCGGTATCTCTAGCTGTGATGAGACTTGTCTCTTGGGCACTGAAACGGGCAATCAACGTGCGAATCACTTGCTCGGCCTAACATAAATTATTTTGAACTCTCTTAATAGACCTTAAGCAAGTAGTCTAAATTAATGAACTTAGTGGCTTTGCTTTAACTAATTAAACATAGTTAAACAGTAATTAATTAATGAAACCCCACCTTATCAATCGCTTCTTTCTGTACACGCTCAATATTTGTCTCCACAACTCCAATCGTCGCTCAAGCTCAAAATTTCTAAAAAATTTCAATATATAAAGTAAACCAAGATGCAACCTTTTTGTTACCAGTTGAACTCTTCTCATTCAGTCGTTGATTGCCGAGTATTTCTCCCTCGAGAAGTTCTCGCAAATAATCATTTGTATACGACTAAAACATAAAACAGTAAATGTCAAATATAAATACACTGCCAGTCCACCAAAACTTTACCTTAATCTGAGCGATCCTATGTTCAATTGGGGCTCTACCAAAGCGTTGACTTTCTTCTGTCACTGTAATCTTAAAATAAAATCGCATAAGTGCATCTACTGTGATCATCACCTTCAATTTGAAAGATGCTCAAAAGCATCAGAGATTTCGCCAAAAGCACCGGTCATTTGATCAGCTAAATAAAAATTAAAGGCTGAATTGTAAAACTAAAACAACTAACTGTTGAACAATTGGCGCTATTGAAGCAGTGATTGGGCACATGATTTGTCGAGGGGCTTGAGCATCGAAATGTCTAAAAAGAGGCAGTTGAAGAGAAAATAATACAGAAACCACCTGCGGGTGTTGTCGCTTGTCGGCTGGTATTGGAAGTTGTCTCGAGGCATTTCTGGAGAAGGAGTTTGATTCAAATTTCTCTAAACCAACAAAAAGTTCATCGGTACTAAGGCAGTTGGGGGATGCCTAAAATTTTCCCAAATGTAGTTTTTCTAGGCAATTGATGGCGCTGATCAGGAAAAACATTTTTAAGTTATACTTTTCTCGTCTATTTTTACATAGGCGCCATATATTTAACCGACTTTGGCTCGGCACCTCTACTGCGCAGAAGGTGTCCGTGTGACCTGGCTGCAACATCCCGGAGCGCGACGGTCGCCAAAGCTGGAAGGTCGATAGGCTTAACAAACACACAAAGCCCCCCGCTACCTTCCGGCTTCTAGCAGACAGCGCAAATGCGACATTACAGATTTAGTAAATGGAAGTAACCGGTTATTAATACTTGGGAAAATGCTTCTTAATTGAAAGTATAACCTAAAAATGCTTTTTTTTTGTGATCAGCGCCATAAATTACCACAGGAAAACTACATTTGAGAAAATTTTAGGTGGCCCCTGCCCCCCTGCCTTCGTACCAGTTAATCTTAAACTTAAAATAGTAACTAATTCAACTAACCTGTTTGTGTGCAGTCCCAATTTCTACATCAACTATTGTTGAGTCGGGTGATCTCGAAGTCGATGGTCCTGACGAAATCCTAGACGAAAAGAAATAAATATTCAGTGAAAATCAACAAAACCGGATCAAGCGAATGACGCCTCTTGTGTTGTTGAAGTTCTTGTCGAGATTCATGAAACATTTAGAAGCTGTCCACTCGATAAAGGATGCTGTAAGTTTGTAATTAAATTGCTTTAAATGGAAAGTTAAAAGCACAAAAAAAATTAAATCAGTCGCAAAGAAAAATATGAGTTCAAACAGCCGAAAACCTGCCTAACGATAACTCAAATTTGCATACTTCAACCCCATGCCTGGAAACATTTAAGGCAAAAAAGTTTGGAGCCGACGGGAATCGAACCCGGCATCCTCTTGGAACGCTAACCACTCCCTTCCATAGACCGCCGAGGCAAAAAAGGGCCGTGGTTTAGCGGCTTTTTAACTTTTAAAAAAGTAGACGATGAATTTTCTAATTTTTTTGAAGGCGTCAGCATGATATTATCAATCTAAGAAAAAAAGCGCACCCTGAAATTTAAACCAGATGACGAGTAAAACCACGTGTGACGGACAGAAAAACACTTCCTTTTTACATGACAAAAACAAAAGATTCTATCAATTAATGGGGGTGGGACAAAAGCGATCTTTTATTTGCGCACCTGACCCAAAAGCGCACCCCCAAAAGCGCACCTTTCAAAAGCGCACCCGACCCAAAAGCGCACCTTTCACTGTGGTTTTTGCTTTCGCGAATCAATACAAAAGCAAAATTCCATTTTTTTTTTCCATTTTTTTCTCCAAGTGTTTCTGACGTTTTTAATCGCGTTTGCTCATTTTTTTACAATGTGGCTACTTTGAACCAAATTTTTGCGCAACTCGCCATAATTTTGCTTCATCTTTATGATTTTAGTGTCATTTTGTTGCACTCTGTTGAGTTCTACAAAATGACGCCAAAATCATAAAGACTAGCCCACTTAGAAGAAAGTTATGGCGAGTTGCGCAAAATTTGGCACAAAGTAGCCACTCCTCTTTGTGTTTTCAGTTGCAAAACAGACAAATTGAGAGCTTCAGCACAATGTCGGGAAATCCACATAAGCGGTAAGATTTTAAACAGTTTAAATTTACTTTTCTTGCATTTGTTCACTTTTTACAATCACTAGCACTTTTTCTAGGGTGCTCAACGATACGCCTCGAAGCAACAAAAACAAAAGATCTTCTACATGATGCTAAGGGCTTCGAATTTCGCAAGCACAAAGAGACGGTGAAAAAGGGACCCATTGACAGGTACTATTTAGATAGTTTTAAGTTTGAAAATTTGATTTAGATGCCTTGTAAAAAAGTGTGGAATACTTGCAAAGCTAACGGTGAATTCAAATTTGGTACAATGCGAAGGTATGCATAATCATATGCCAACCAACTACGCCAAAGAGGTAAACATTTTTTTTGACGAATATCCTTCCTTTTAGATGCGTAAATTAAAGAAAGTCGTGAAACATCACGCAAAAAATGGGAACACCGATTCGCCACATCGAAACAAGCGTGATCAAAGAGGCAGAAGATCATTTAAAGCCGTTTGTGAATGAAAAGCGTTGGCGAAAGTAGCAAACGGGTGGCAAAGAGAGCTTCCACAACAACGTGGCCTCATCCGATTGACTGCTCAACTTATGGTGGGTTGTGATTTCTTAGTAAAAGACAGTTATTTTAATAGGTGCACTGTTTGAAAGGGTTGATACAGTGCGCAGCACCAGCAGGGTGATCACGCAGCGGTGAAAATCTACGCGCACAATGTTGAACTCGATCTATTACGAAAGGTAAGATTATTTTATGAAATCTCTGTTTAATTGAATGTATAGAATCGTTCTTGGACGGCCGATGGCACATTTTACTCGTGTCCGGCAGACTTTGCTCAACTGTTCATCATTGGAATCCAAGTAAGTGGCAAAAGGAGTTTACTAATGTGTGTATCAATTTAGAAAGAACACCTATTCTTACCGTGTGTTTTTGCCTGTTGAGTGGAAAGTCCGCCCAGTGCTACGAAGCAGTCTTTCGTTACATTTTGTCGGAAAATATCCTGCACCAACAAAACTAATGACAGGTAGGTGCAGCATTTTCTTTGTTTAATGTTGCTTTGTAGACTTTGAGCGAGCGATTTTTCAAGGTTATCAGCAGGTTTATGGCGCCGGAGTCGCTCATCAGTATTGTGTGTTTCACTTTCACCAAAATATTTTACGAAATATTAAGGCAAGTTTAAAATATGTGTTATCCTTTGTAATTAACGTTGAAATTTAGAAACGTGGCCTTTCTTCTCTCGTGCAAACTCCTTTCGGCAAAGGACATCTTCAGTCAATGATGGCTCTCGCATTGGTGGAACCGCAAGAAGTGCCCGACTACTTTGACGCTGTTGTCTTGTCAGCTCACAACACACCACCACCGCTTGGCACAAATTTTCGGCTGTAAAAAGTAAGTTGAACCAATTTATACTACTAAAATTTTTGTTTTTCGTTTTTATTTTGGTTTTAGAGTTTTTCGCCTTTATTGAAAAGAACTATGTCGGAAATGTCAGCACGGACCAATGGAGCCTTTCGCCAGCCTGCTGACGCTTGATGTGAGAAATGGAGCGTTTATTCCCGTGAAAGCTTCAATCAGAACAACTCGGGAATTCAACACATGAATCGTTCAACTCGTTACTAAAGGTATTTTGTTGATTCAAGCTTTTTTATTCGTTTTTAGATTGGCCCAAAGAACCCACATCCAAGCTTCACTGTTTGTCGCCTTTGGAAGAAATGTCAATGCTATCAACAGGCTAAAAATCCCGCCAATGGACGAAATCTCTCGCTTGGTCAGTTGTATCCTCAAACCAATCGTGTTGTTCATCGTCAGAATCTTAGGTTTCATGCTGTAATTAATGGTAGAAATAATGTGCTCATGTTCAACATTTATCTCAACTCTGCCTCATATTGCTTCCGGTAATGTTGCCATGTTTTTAAGTTGTGTTATTGTTACTTTTGTCTGTTTTATGTCGTTGTTTTACTGCTAAATGTTTTACTGTTAAATGGTTAGGTTGTTATTGAAGGTATAAAGAAGCAAAAGTACAATTAGAAGTTCATTTTTGGCACCGGAAACAAAATACATTAGTCTAATAATCATGGGAAAATAATTGGAATTTTTGGTTTTGTATTGATTTGCAAAAAGCCAAAAAACAACAGTGAAAAGGTGCGCTTTTGGGACGGGTGCGCTTTTGGTCGGGTGCGCTTGTGAAAAGGTGCGCTTTTGGGCGGTGCGCTTTTGGGTCGAGTGCGCTTTTGGGGGTGCGCTTTTGGGTCGGTGGCAACAAAAAGATCGCTTTTTGTCCCACCCCAACTAATCGAATAACTTACTGGGAAATAGAAATTTGGAGGGCCCAATTTCAGCAAAGAGGTATTGCGGTACTTATAACTTTCTTTAAGTTAACCGATTTAGAAGATTAACATACCATTTCAATAGAGTCAAAAAACTAGGAAAGTTGGAAAAACTCACTTTTCTAGTTTTTGACCTCTTGAAATGAGTTTAGTACTACTTTGTTGCTCTCGATGAGTGCAACAAAATGGAGGTAAATCTTCTAAATCGGTTAACGAAAAAGAAAGTTATAACGAGTTGCCACTGCTTCAATCAGAAGCGCTCATATCTCGACACCAGTATGTTTGGTTCTGCGCACTTGGGTATAAAATTAAAGCAGAGGATGGGTGAATTTTTGAGATATTAACACATATTTTTCAGATTAACCAGCGCTTAGAACAAAATGTTTGAAAAATAATGAAAACTCGACTTTTTTTGCCACTTTTCAATCATTTTTTCTAAACGCTCGTTAATGTGAAAAATATGAGTTAGCAACTATTTAACCTTTACCCAATACCTTTTCACTGACTAATCCTTTTTCTAAAATAATTAGACACAAAACCCAAGTCTACTTTTGAAGTACCGCCCCCAAGTCTCCCCAAAAAGTGTCCCCATATGGGGACACTTTTAAGCGGTACATCGAAAATATAAACCCAAGAGGATCGCGCCGATTTGATTTGGTAGATTTAATGTGTTTGGTTAAAAGAGAGTTGGTTAAGCTAAGTTCATACGGCACATAGAATAAGATTCAAAGACAATGGAGTAGAAGGCAGCCGAGAGAAACGAAACAAAACCATTTTAGAGATTTAAACAAGAAAACATGGGCAGAACAATATAAAAAGTAGGAACGAACGAGGGGAGAGGGAGACTTTGAAAACGTGCTACAAGAACATAATAATTTTTTACGAAGGGAGAAGAAAACTTAAGCGGGACTCGGCATAGAAGCCGGACAATATTCACGAGTCCATCGGAATCCCGAAAAATGAAAAGAATGGCAAAAGGGGAATTTTGTGTGGGGCACGGTAGCGTATCCACGCTTTCGAAAGCGAGCCGCGCCGCTTTTGCGCCAGTCCCTTAAACGGCACGTAAATAGGGATTCTAACTTATGTGTTATATCTCAAAAAATCACCCATCCCCTCTACTTTAATTTGATACCCAGGCGCGCAGAAACAAACGTACTGGGGCTGAGATATGAGCCTTTGTTGGAGGGTAAACTTAGACTACGCGACGCTCCTATGGGGATTTTCTATTAGAGTATTAGAATTCTAAAAAGGACAGAACTTTCGCCGCACCCTGTACAGAAGCTGAATTTTGTCAGAGATCACAAAATTCAAGCTGAGATTCAAAATTTAAACCAAATTCTCGAGAAAGAAGAAAGCCGAGAGCAGACTGTCGAGCTAAGGCCTTTTCACAAAGCAAACACGATATTTCAGTTGTGTTGTCATTGGATTTTTCTATGAATCGGAAAAGGGGCAAATGATTGCTCCGCAAAGCATTCTTCAAGAATTAGATAATATTGGACTCACTATCAGACCAGAACAAATCAGATAACCGTTAGTCTGGTCAATGTGAAAATGAAATAAAGCTTTAAAGCCGCGCACATCTATTTTTTTGCTCATTTGTGCTATAGTAAGCTGGCTTCTTTGCTTTCTTTTGTGAAAAGTCCTTCTGTGCCTTTTTTGGCTTTCCTTCTTTCTCCAACTAGCACAATTCCTTCTCGCCGAAACAAGATTTTCCTCGATCGAATGTGAAGATCCAAAAGATCACCCCCGTTTCAGCCCCCCTGACGCATGGCTCGTTGGTCTAGTGGTATGATTCTCGCTTTGGGTGCGAGAGGTCCCGGGTTCGATCCCCGGACGAGCCAATTTTGTTTTTTTATACTTTATTATATCTTTGATATACTGTAACCAGTGTGTACCGTGGTTTTGGATTTATTTTATTTCTGGTTGACAGGCATACACATTTATTATAATCCCTATCTAAGTCGATTTGAAGCTTTTTTCGTTTTGTTTTTTCTTGCCGATCGATTCGAAATTAGCTTTTGCACAAATAATAAGGTGAATGGATTGCTTTTCGAATTTTAAACTTCAATTTCTTTATTGTTGGAGCTTACAGTACAAATTACAAGGTCATAGTGTGGCAAAGTGGAGAGATTCTTTCGGGTGAGACTTTTGGACTTCCCAGGATGGAAATCTGTTCTAAAATTTCTCGAGACACTTTTGTAAAGTCTCGGGGTTCATACTAATCTTCAAATTTTGGTAATTGAACCGGCTTTGGTGGTCGCTTTCTCGCTATATAATCACCCGTGTTGCCAGATGGCGAGCGCTTGTGCGCTCCCAAAATACACATTCCATTGAGCAGCTAAAGTATTTTTCTTTTACGTTAGATATTTAATATTTGCTTTCTTTTGAACTCCATGGATACATGAGTCTGCTTTTCCGAAAAAAAAAATTTGGATCACTAAAGAATCAAAAGAAAAAGACCAAGAATAGATTAAACAAGAAAGACTTCAGGTTCAGCACTTAGGATGTGTAAGAATATGATGTAGGCATTACGCAAACGTCGAACAAAAACTTTATTAACGAGGCCAAACAAAATAGATGATATGTTATTTTGATAGTTTCTATTTTCTTCACAGATCAGCTGTCATTTGTTGTGTGTTTTCTGAAAGCGTTGAAGATAAACTATGATTAATTTGTTTGCCCAAAAGACGATGAGACGGTGGTGAGGGTGGCCGAACTCTTCAATCGGAAAACTCGGCGGCGATATGCCTGAAAGGCTTTCTTTTTTTTACATTCTTTTTCTTTATGTTGTACTTGTAAATTAAAGAAAAGCGTATAATTTGTTTTTCGTTCCTAAAATTCTTTTCAATTAGCAAACGAACGTTGAAACCAAAAATGGTCATGAGCGCTTCAGCTGCCGGGTAACACGAGAAAAAGATCGGCACATAGTAGGCAGCATCGCTCATTGGTAAGTCTAAATGTTAGTTTGAACTTTGGTGGGTCAGCACAAGGATCTTACTACAAAATGCACAAATTTCCAGTTTTTGTACAAAAAAGATTCATAATCAAACTTGTTCATGACCTTATTGTGAACATACCAAAAAATCCTCCCCACATCGCCACGAAGCACGGGATAAACTCAAAGATTAGCGGAGCAATTGCCTGGAATTTCAAGAGCATTTACAGATATTTTTGTGTTTTCTCAGTAAAAAATTAGCTTGAGGATGTCAATAGACGTTTTATAGTTAAATGCATCGAAGTTTCTGGTGACTGTTTTGAGCATTCTTTATGATTCTTTTTCTTATTTTTGTCTTTTTCTATATCTTATCGTTATAGTAAACTCGCTTTTTGAGATTAGAATTCACATTTGTTCAATAAAGGAGGAAAAATGGAATTCAAGAGCCTGAAATGACAGAATTTCTCTCACTTTACTTCAAAATGAAATTTTCGGAAAGGCTACAATCGTCTACTTTGTCAGCAATGGCTTGATTCAAGTGCCGAATTGTTCGAGAGGTGATCGAGTGTCGCTCCAATCTCGAGGATAGGATCAATACTATTGAAGATGCAATCAATGTGTCGACCATCTCAATCAAGTCAACAGATCATTTGAGAAACGAGCCTGGGATCAAATCTCTGTCAAATCTGCGCCAACTTCTAGAAACGTCACAAGAAATGCATCGAAGTTTCTGGTGGCTGTTTAGAGCATTCTTTATGATCCTTTTTTTTATTTTCTCTTTTTCTATATCTAAATGTTATTTTTTGATGATTTGAATAATAAGTTTGTTATTTAGGTATGCGAGACCGCCAAAGCGTCATCAAGAAGTAACAGAACTTTCCAGCCACCCTGGACTTTCAGATTCCATTCGTGTCATTCAGGTGAATAATTGGTTCAAGGATTCAAGGCTCAAGTTCGTCACGATTCTCAAGTTCATTCGTCTGTAGGCAAACGGAAATTCGACCATTGTTTGATGAGTTCCATGGCCGCGACGGTTTGCATCTTTGAATGGGCGCCACATCCTCTCAATATGTTGTCTGTAAAAGGTCGATGGGATCAACGAAGTTTGTTGTGCGGTTGAC